ACACACACACACAAACAAACTTTGCCCGTCATAGCGAGTGAGTTGCGTGCACTTTTTTCTTATATCCATGTACCCACGCACGCTGTCGCGGCACTTTGAGAGCTCTACCTTTGTCGGATGCGGCAGCATGGCGTGCAACTACTACTTACTACCCAACTACATACAGAAGTATTCTCCATTGGATACATACAACTTCTGACAGCAACGCGTTTATTAGAGATCCCTGCTGCCAGCATCGTTGTCGGACGTCAATCTTGCGCTTATTGCAGAGAAACTTACTCGTAGGGCTTTTAGGCGAAACTATTCGGCTGCTGCTGTTGCTGCCGCCACTGCGGCTCCTTCTCCACTTTTCAGCTTGCTGCAGCGCTTGGCGACGCACTAACGAATGACTAGCAACGAATAGTTTTAGCCGCTGCCTTGCATTTGGCGAGGAAGCCTGAGAACTGAGTGATTTTAGTGTTGCGTTAGATTCTACTTATTTGAAAGTGCATACATACATACGTACATACATATGTACATATGTATCAACGAGTTTATATGCAGCGGAAGGGATGCAGTTGTGGCAGCGATTGCGTTTGCGACAGGTAAACGACAAGCCGACCGACCGACAGAAATTCGGTTGCTGAATAGCCTCTTTACATATCTATGATTGTAGGTTTGTTTATACAGCACTACTGCATGTATGTATGTATGTTTGTAAGTTATCTTTGCATGTGTGCCTCTGTATGTATGTATGTATGCATATAGTTAGTTCATTTGCTTTAGTTGGTTAGCTATTTGGCTGTTTGGCTGCTGATGAGTCGCGGCTGCCTTGTTTGTACATATGTATGTATGTACGAATATGTATAGCTTTGCTACAAAAATCAATAAACCAAGCGCTACTACAGTATGCCTGTCCAGAAGGCTCCATCTACAGCTTGGAGTAGGTATGTATGTACATATATAGCGTGCCTGTGGGTGAGGTGGAACGGTGGCAGCGGATTGCGTGTAAGCAGGCAACAACAGCCAACCAGCTAGCTAACCAACCACTAAATAGGATATGAATCTATTTTCTCGACAAAATTCGTGTCATGCTCTCTGTTCGTAACGATTCCTTTTCGCAAGCACGACGATGTACACTTAAAAAGTTTTTGAATACCTTTTTTTTATGCCAACAAATAATTAAATTTTCATTGCTGTCGAACTTAAAAGCTATGTAATTTATGTATATGAACTTTTGGTTTAATGGCACTTGAGCTTAACTGAGCTTAACTGGGTAAATAAAAAAGAGAAATCATCAATTTTCAATTTTTAAGTTTGCATCAACTTTAATAAATATGCAGGTATGTATTACTAACTTTCGATTGAGTGTAATATGGTCATGAAGAAGGCGCTACCGATTGGAGACTACATAAATCTCTAGGCTACACAAAATTGGGGAGAATATCTAGACAAGGACCATTATTTATTGTTTTACTTTAATAAAGTATGATTTAATCGTAAACTTACAAAAACTCTCTTAGATTTTTTCAACGAATTAAGTACATCAAAACTTTTCTCCAGCTTTTTCTGAAAGGTAAATAGAAGGTCTATGATCATTTTTAAATCATAATGTCAAAAACTACAAATTTTGAGTTGTGTCACCATTGGAGTGGGTGTGTCATATGTACACTAGCAGGCAGACAATTGCCTTTAGAAAGTGTGTTCGAAATTTTTTTTTTATATGGGAGGAAATTGGCAACATCGCCAGCAAAAAAAAAAAAAAATAAATCTAAAAAATCAACGAGGTTTTCGAGCTACTTGAAACTTGCAGAATATTATACTCAAATTGAATGCGCTATAAATATGATAAAGTTGCACTTCCGAAAAAGCTTTTTATGGCAGAAGTATACTCAGAAGTTTGCCAATTCCTGCCGAGGGGGCAGCTATCTTTACTTGTAATAATTTTATTGTCATTTTTGGTCATGACTCCATACCATCAAAAGCATTTTTACTATATGAAAGCTATATAAAATATAACCGGTTAAATAATATTCGGTTTTTTCGTAATTTCAAAATCGGGAACCGTTTTGTTTTTTTTTTTTCAAATTGGAATTTTTCTAATAACTCATAAACCGGTTTTGGAAAAAGCCGAACACTAATACTTAAACATATATTTAGACGAAAAAAGACGAGTTACGAGTATCATTCTTACTTTAGCGAGAAGGTTCGAGCTTTTCAAAGAAATATTTAATTATTTTTTTTCGCAACTTTTTTTTACTCGTACCAATATCGACTGAGTTATGAATATGAAATGAAAACACGTACTTATCTAAACCATTGATTTCATAATCTAAAGCCATGAAGCACCAAGTCGATATGAGTTTTTTGTATTAAAATCTATGAATGCTTACATATAAGAAAAAGCTTACTCATAATGCACATAGGGTGGTCGGCAAATGCCTGTGAAAAAGTAAAGTCGAAATTTTATGCTATAACCCCCTAGGATTGTTCTATACCGAAATAATATAAACCATTTTTTTTTTGTTTTTGAAATCAAAACATAAGGTGGCTCAAAGTGTTCCATGTACATATTTTATACATATGGGGGGAAAACAACTTTTTGTAGATATGGTATAGAACTCTTGAAAATCAATATTTTCTCTTCAGGAGATTCCCAATAATAATACCCAATTGCTTATTTAACCATTTTTTCACAGTAACTATGCAATAGGGGCCAATAATAAATCGTTATTATAAAAAAATTCTGATTTTCAAGAGCTCTATAATATTTCTAAGAAAAGTTGTTTTTTCCCATATAAAATACATGGGAAA